TTGTATTTCACGTATGCAGAGCATTTCCTTTATTTTCTCATGTATGTATAGTATGTCGTATGTATGTATGTATGTATGTACATATACAATATAAGCGTTTTCGATCTCGAAACATTTGACTACTATCACATTTGATCTCTCCTTGAAACGTCAACTTCATCACGTCAAGAAATTTTCCTACTTTTATAATAGGAAATAGATTACTTTAATGATAATTAAGCTAAATATGAATTATCGATAACAGCAAGGAAAGATATATCCATTATCAGTTCCCTCTAAATCGATGAGTCAAAACACTCACGTAAGACAAACACGAGAGTAGGCAGACTATTAAAGAACGTTCTTTCATAGATGTGCTGAAGTGATTTTGAAGGAATTATGTATTGTAATGTACAACAATAATCTTAATTTTATAAAAATGACCGTGATATCAATGATATCGATGAAAATTGTAACTTTACTTGACTTTTAGAGAAAAGTATATTTTTTAGAATTGCTTAGTGTCGATTATCGCATGCAAGAAAATAAAGCATTCCCATGTAGGATCGCCAGCAGTTACAATGACACCAACGCTTAGTCAACGCTACGATTGTCGACTAACGGCAAACATTCTGTCAATCAGTACAGTCAGAGCCTAAAAGGTTGCAACACTTTTTTTTAAATGGATTTCGGAATGCAGCCTACTTACCGAGCAATTGCTAATTTTTCTTTGTTCTTATTTGTCGACCCATAAATAAGAACCTCAATCGCTCGATGAGCAAGCTGCATTCCGAAATCCATCGAAAAAAAACCTGTAGCAAAAAAACCTTTTAGCTACTTTTAGGTCCTAACTATACATACTGTAACTATAACAGTCAGTACTAGCTCAGTGTTGGGCCGATAGAGTAAAACCCTATATGGGATTGTTTGAAAAAAATATTATTTTATAGCCGTGCGTGCGTGTATCGATAAATTTAATGCAAGTAAATCTCCTGAAAAAATAACGTTTACATACAATAATAATCTATATACTGTTCATTGTGTCTCCTTTAATTTCAGTGTCGTGACGAAACAACAACTAATCGGTTAAACGAAGAGCGAAAGTTTCCGTTCCCATTCGATTAGATGCTACTTTATCCGGTTGGTACCAAGTCAGATGTATGTGCTACACACGAGTTTTGTAACCAGTCTGCGTCACGAAAGTACGCAAACAAATTGCATGCCTGTGCGATGATTTAACATTACTGAGCTTAACTTGGGCTGAGCGTTGTCTCAAAAATAATTGTTTTTTACGAACATGTATTCTTTTTAATGACATTCATTCTCGTTTTTCATTATACCATACTGCCATTGTCGCGATTAATATAAACTCTTAACAAGATTTTACTATTGTATAAATATAGTACATATTTGGAATTCGATACGATAAATCGCGTTCAAATCCAATTTGAATGGGAAATATTTTCCATTCGTACGATATATATATATGTATATAAATAAAAGAAACAAGAATTTTCTTATTACAATGCATAAAATATTTGTAAAGAAAATAATATAGATAAAACTTTTTAATTCTGATGATAAAAATATAATATGCATCCTCGAGTAGAACAAGTCACGATAACGTTAAAATTATATTAAAATGAATCGGAAATGATTAAAAAATGACTTTTAATGATCATTTTGGCGTCATTTTGATATCAAAATGACTTCTTCTGCTTGGGTCTATACATAATATATAATACATATGCATGTAATGTATAAAAAAGAAAACACGAATATACTCTCAAACATTAAATATTATATGTTTTATTACGACATTGTTAGTGTATCTACCCATACTAAAGACGTTTTACAATATTATGTGCAAATGCATAGGTGATGTATGATTATTTTTACTCTTAATGCAATATACAAATTTTTCGTTTCAAAAATGTGCAAAATTTACGAAAACCAACATAAAATAATTTATTTCGTGAAATCGCATGGTCAAAGCTCACAGACCAAACGATAATCCGTTTTTATTCAAATCGATAACTTAAACGAAAACATAAAGTTTCGCTTCGTTACTCCTGGCTAATCATACGACTAATAAACACGATTAATTATAAATCTGGATGATAAGATGATAACTCTCTTCCTTCCTTTCGTTCAAGAAGACCGCGATAGATGTGAATGCGAGTTACAGTGAAGAAATGGACGGACTAGTTCAAAATGCTACGCGAATTTTCCGAGTCGTAGAAAACTGCAATGAGCATTTGGCTACAATCCAAGAGTTACTAATTCGCGGAAGAAACGCACGCAAAACGCGAAAGCATACAAGCGTTTTTCTCATTACTCGAGTGTAACGGACAATGACTTTAAACTTTTAAGGTTTCACGATAATCCGTTATCCGTTATTCACTTATATGCCACGTCTTTTCCTGATTATTATGATAGTACATGAAAACAAAGACCTGAATGCGCAGAATGAGAACGGGATCGTATTGTTAAAATTAATCGCACGATAATGATGCTGGGGAACGTGGCTGCAGGTGAGAATGAAAATTTTGCTAAAAAAAAAATGTCTAAAATTTGATCTAGATACAGAAAATATTATAATTGAAAATATTATAATTATGTGGAACACGCTCAAATGTTGCACATGACTGCTGCGGAAAGATTTCTAGCAATCGGCTACATTATATTTAATTATTTTGATGGTCCAAACAAAGTGATTTTCCGCATCTACATGAATTGAAAATATTGAAATTCTTTCTATACATATAAATTAACCAACTTAACAATAAGATTAAGATGTAAGCAAAAAAAAAACACAAATTGCCGATTAATAACGCACTAATTCTTGATTCTAACTTCTAACACCGAGATGTTATTATTCGCAGTAATGATCGATGTGAACATATAAGTATATATCATATATCGAGAGCAATTAACTTTTCGCTAATTCATCACTTAATCGGGTGTTAAATTAATCATTGTGCGAAATGAACCAAATGGTCCATCCGCCATTATAATTATATTCACCAAATCACCACCTGTTTTTCGTTTCGTATGTTGTTTTTCTTTCTATTTGGCAAACAAGACATGGAGTATGTAGACTTTAGCATTTAGAACGCTTATGTGTTCTCTCGTTTTAACAACAATTATTTGCATAATCGACTTGGTCTACGCGATTACACTTTGCCTAATATATTTTTTCTTAACCGCACGCTCACGCTTACAGATCAGGAACAAGTATATGGGTCGAGCCGGTCAGACTCTCGCCTCGTTCATCGTACAGGGATTATATTTATCTCTCTTAGCGGGTAAATGCGTACACCTCGGGTGAAAGATGTGTCAAAGTAGGCTATTTAAATCTAGTGTTACGCGTATGTACGCGGTAAGTGTAAGTTATCGATCTATTTTCGCTCCATATCACTATATGCCCGTGTCATCGTATCATTGAATTCGAACGGTTGATTCAATCTATCACTGACCTGGCTAATCTCTTTTACCATACAGGACTAAATAGGGAGAAGAAAAAGAAGGGTGAAACACGATTCGTTGCTTTCCTCAGATGATGTAACTATACCTATCTAGAGACTATCCAGGGCGCCGTAGTAATTTTAATTATTTATATCCTCGAGATAAATCGCGTCGTGTTAAGAGAAGTGTATATACTTAATTCTATTATTCGATCTATACGACTTGCACATCACCGCTATATATCATTGCCGCGTTATATTATACGACGCGACCTAGTGCGTCCCCATCTCGGTTTCTTCTATAAATAAGCCTCTTCAATTCGTGACGTTGCTTGTGCGATATTACCTTATTGACGAAAGTAACAAACGTTTACATTAAATATTCGACAAATGTATTTTCGCGATTGCTATCACCCGGCAATTGCCAGACGGCTTCAATTCCATCTTCTCATTATACGCGCATCTCATTATATATGTAATCTTACATTCACGTAACACGTTAGAATATGGAAGCGATCAACATCTATCTCGCATTTGATTCTTCACTTTCGTCTTTCTAATAGGCGAGTCATATGGATGTCATGATGTCGTAGGTCATAGTTTGAACTGTCATTTTGATTTTCAACGCCAACTAATTGTTAGTCGAAACTTGAAAATATTACGCGTGACATGTTTGAAACTTTAATGTCATTCTTACTTGAAAAATTACAACGTAATTATTACCAACGTCTCTATTACCGCGCGCGCACGTGACTATTGTTTCTTTCGCAATTGACAAAAGTCTACTAAATATCAGCAGACTTGAAGCTTGAAATATCTATTTTCTCACGCGACGTCCTTGAACAAATTCAAAACCGTTATTCCTGTTAATACAACATTCGACGACGCAGCGCCGCGGTTAAGCTTCGAACGATAGATGTAGAATTTCTAGAAATAAATCTGGCGAGTCGACCTTGAAGGATCGCGCGGGACTTTAGGCGTATCGTTTTCGCGCCGCGTCGGTATTTTTGATATTCCCGATATCCTTTTAATTAAATTCTCTACGTCCGAAGATGCCTTTTCATGTGCAGCACGCTGCAACAGCAAAACTATCACGTGATGCCAATTTTTCGTAACTGCTTCCGCTGCATTTGTTGCGCATGAAAAGGAATAACGGCAACAGTCAATTCAAGCAACAGTAATTCAAGTTTAACCTCAGATATGTGTCTTTTATTTGCTCTGTTCGAAAATTAATGTGGAAAACTTAAAAAGCTAAAAACTTGTGATTATATAGCAACTGTTAGTGCAGTTACAATTTGGACAATTATCATTTCAGGTAGTTATTTAGAATTTAGAGTATCCCCATCACTTCAAATCTTAATAAAAATGTACTCATTATAAATGTACTCAATTTTCATTCACACATTTTTTGCAAATATTGCAAACTGTCTCGGCTTCGAATTCTTTGCTGCTTGTTATTCGTTTGGTTGAACTTCCAATGAGATGCGGCAAAATATACTTTGCGTCGGAAGAAGTGCGTCGTCTCATGTAAAATTATTAACCAATAGTTACGAATTGCTGCTGCAGCGTGCTGCGTATGAAAAGTCAGCTTAAAGCTACATGTGTACCTACAAAGAAGAAATTGAACAATGACAATGAGGCGGGAAAATGGAAAATGGAAATGAAACGGCCTTGGTGTTCCGTGTTGGACTGACCGTGGTGGATAATACGGTGAGGTCCCAGGCACTCTTAGCTTGCTTCTGATAACTCTTCTTCCTCTTGCCGGGTCTCCGCAAACTGGAGAACCATCCGGCAGCGATAGCGACGGCGCTCACGTCTCTGCGTCCACCGGCACCGTCCTGCTGAATACCACTCGCACCACTGCCGCCTCGTACCTCGTCGAGACCGTCTACCGATCTGCCGGTGAAGATCATTCTCGGTCACCCGGTCACCCACAGTCGCGAGTTGCCGCGCCTTTACTTGCTCCTTTCCGTCTTCCCGGCGAAAAGACGATATTCGCTTCGTGAAGGCTTCCCGCCAATCCCGCCTTCTTCACCATACTCCCCGTTACGATCGGACATCGCTCGCGTTCGCGCCGAGAAATAGACGAGGTGCAAAGGTCGCGGAGCACATACAGCACGTAGAGCACGTAGAGCACGTAGAGCACGCGGTCGGAAGTGCAACGACCTGAGCACGACGCAACGAAGACGACGACGACGCTACACGCGCGCACCTTTCGTACCTTTAATCTCTTCGTCTATAATTACATCCCGTCTCTTTCGATTCTCGTCCAAAGCACCGTGAGAAAGTGAAATTCCTTACGCGTACACGCATACACTTTTGACTATCGTCGAGATCACATTCAAATTTCAAGCGCGAAAGCGGCGGATCCGCACAATCAACAAATCGCGTGTATGACTCGAATCGACACGATCGACTGGCTGGCTGTACTGGCACTCTCGGCAGTCTCGGCACTGCTCTCGAGTCTCGAGTGGCAGCCGCCAGCCACTGCGGTGGGTTCCGAGTTCTGAGTGTTCTGACGGTGTTGGACGGTTCTGCTTCTGGAATCTGGCGGGCACCGTGCGAATCAGGCACACTGGCGCCTCGCTGCGGTCGCGCGATTAACTGTCCCGTACAAATATTTCTCTTATTTGTGTATTAATGCATTTCCAACGAATCCACGCGGCAGATCTGGCAGATTATTCGAGATTTGATCAAATTCGTGCGGAACAGTTTGACAAACACGTCAATGACGATATCGTCGCGTCGAATTGAATGACTCAGAATCGATTCAGAGTCGATCGAGTGATTCTCCCTCCCTCTCTCTTTTTCTGATTCTCTCGCGAGCGCGATAAGTAATACAATTCACAAGATTGGTCTCGCGAAAAGATCGTTTACGTGCTGGCAATTCGCGTATCTACGCGTTGTTATTCGATGAAAGAACGGAACGGAACGGAACGTAACGAAACGGAAGGGAAGGGAAGGGAAGGGAAGGGAAAGCGGGCGCGTCAATGACGTTGGTGTCGTTGAATGATGTTAGTACGAAATAGATGTGTCAGCTAATAGTCAGTTGCGCGTCTCTGCTTCCTCTTTGGGGAATTACTCGCGTCGCGTCGCGCACCATCTATCATATGTACATCTATGCGTCACCCTGCAATAGTGTTAAAATTCTTAGAGTAAACGCAGCGATCAATTAAGTTGACTAATACTTTATTAGAGTTAGACAATCAATAATTTCAGTTATGTATTTGCAGTTTAATGTATTATTGGAATTATAATATATTCAGTAATGTGCTTTTTGTGCTGCACTTCGAGCAACACAACAAGAATATATTGACAAATATAATGCTCAGTTTTATAATCAGATATCGAAATATATATAGGATGTAATTATCACAAATGATAACAATTGATGAACAATTGATTCGCAATATTAATACCTTTAAACGGAAATCTTTTTAAAATTAGGACTATGGTGAGCTCACCCCGAGAAAAGGGTGTGCGCTTATAAAATGTTACTAAACATTGCCAACTTGACTTGATTTGAATTATTATACAAAAACATTTATCTAAAGTTACTTTACTCAGCTGCATCACCGCGATATATATTGGATAAACACGATCGCAGAGATACGTATCATTGGCGTAACATTTTTATTATATAAGCTTGAACGCTTTAACAGTTCTGCAGAATAAATTATGAGAATTATCTTTTTAACCTTTGCATGCGCGCAATCAATTTCATTCATTTCCACGTTGTTAACGTTACCGTCCACACAAAGATCGGTCCCTTTCACATTATACATAATGAAATTATGCATTATGCAAATTTCTGGAAAGATTTCTCAATTAGAGATATCCTGTTGCGCTATTAGTTTCCTTGTGGCCGGATGTGCCAGAGTTCTCAGAGTTTCCAAAGTAGTTTCTGAGATTCACCATCTTTTTTTTCCCATCGAATTATATCCGTACATATAACACCGTACAAACATAACAGATAGCTAAGCAAACGATTGAAAAGAAAGAAATTTATAACTGACACAAGTATTTCTCGTAACAACTTTCACATTTATTGTAGAAACTAATAAGTCTAATAGTTAATCTGTCGCGCGCGCGCGCAAATTCAACTTCTTATATGTATGTATATGTGTTTTGCAACTATTCGCTCGAGAAAAGTATCGATCGAGGAAATAAAGTAGAGATTTGAAATTATAATTATCTAATTCATCAGATGTTGTTAAAGCTGCTGAATCAGCGATCAACCAAGTTAATTACTTACACGCATGCATAGTCTATTCGTTGTCGACCCTGAATATACTCGTATATAATACATAGTAACTTAGTAATCGGCACCACCGAGTTACCACACGAGTAGAAATCTAGTAAATTAATGCATCTTTGGAAAACTTAATCGTATCACCTGTCGACGACGTCTGCTTCGCATACCAAACGTTAGACAACACGACCAGCATGTCCCGAAACGACAATTGTCTCGAAACGTGTACAAATTTCGTGTCATTGACGCCCTGAATAAACCTGTTAAACCATGCAACGACTTTACGAAACTTATTCAAAGCATTATACAGATTCCTTTCGTTTGATATTTACTGTCTAAACGGCTGATATTTATTCTATGTATCGTAAATCACGATATAGTATCGCGATCGCGGCAAACCGCGTACTAAACAGACGTTCTGCTATGAACTATGAATTTGTTTTGATATCCACAAATTCCATGAACGAGTGAAGCAACAAGCGCGTTGTTCGAATTTCGAATAGAAATCGGAGAAAACAAGAATTTCATGCCACAAGTGTAGTGAGAGCGCGTTGTGATTTTTTTCTATCTACTAATGTGTCCAATGAATACACCTAATATTCGAATAAATGAATAAAAAATGAATGAAAATACTCATTCGAATACATTTCTTTTTTCGTTAAGAAACAAATAAATATTTTTTCATTCCATTTGAATGAATATTTTCGTTTCGTATTCACTTTTACTCTGTATTATCTGCGCATAGCTTGCAAGCCTACAAGAGAAAACAGAAATCTATAAAAACAATGACTACGATTACACCGTGCGCTTACTCCGCGACTTACAAAGACTTACATTTTTATTGAGAATAAATAATATATCTCGGAATTTTTAATGCCCACAGATCATAATGAACGTCGCGCCAAAGGTATCCTATAAAATATTTATAGCATTACTGTATTCGTATCGGAGTTATATCGAAATATGTATGGCGTTCTATCAAATAGATAGATTTATAAATAAAAAATGTATATTTTACTGTATATCTTAAAATATTTTTCAAAATTTCTAAGTTTTCTTTATAAAATCTGAATATTACAATGAATATTAAAAAAAAATAAATAAATTCATTTTTTTTTTACTTAATCATCAAAGTACCGGTTATAGTTAAGAGGTAACGATTGCTTATTGGAGCTTTCTTTTTTAGTTTATATTTTGTTTGAATGAATATGAATACTCGTTAAATATTCATAGTTTTTTTGTGAATAAATATTTTTTGAAAACTCAAAATTTTGAATGGATATACGATTACATTTTTTCTTATGTGAAAATTTTGAATAAATACAGTTTGGAGCTCAATTACAAATTTTTGTATTCATTGTATTCGGGCATATTACTATCTATGTGACGTCTCATTTCCTTAAACAGATATAAACAGATGAGTAAGCGAGACTATCGAGGCATTGCGGAAACAGTCTTATCGTAAGAACATCCTGGAATCTTTCTGGCTATATAGATTCTGATTATCAGTCATTGCAGCGTTGCGTTAATAATTGTAATACATGTAAAATTGTAAAACATGTAGAAATTATTTTTTGCGTCTTTAAATTCTGTAATTGATAAACTATTTTTAATACACTATTTCAAAAAATTAAATCAGATCGAAATAATTACAAGTAAACAGATTCCTGAATTATAAAATTGTAATAGACGACTCTTTTCCCTTTTAAATTTTATTTCCTATTTACATATTGAATCGATTTATCAGATATATTTATTGCAATTGTAAATACCGGTGGCTATCGCACAGATCTATTCAATGGAATATATCGGTAAAACATCAGACTCACTTGACATCTTTGCAGCTACGAGTGATAAACGAGAATCTCGATGAGTGTGTGTCATTTTGTTCTATGTAGGTAAAAATTCTTGACGAGTGATATCATTTCCGTCTCATAGATAAAATGTCATCACATTATGCATCTTTCCGTTTTGTCATAATAATAAACATTACGAATGCCAACTAATATACTTCAAAATAAAACAAGTATTATTATTAGTACACTTAGCTTACGTAATTAACATACTCACTTGTATTTCAAGCAGCAATTCCGTTTTCTTCCGCCTTATATCTAGCAGGATCTTCTCTTGCTCGGGAGTCAATTCTACAATCATAAGATAATCATCGAATTACAAATATCCTAACGTCAAAACAACGCGCGCGTGTGTGTACGTTTTCTTGCCAAATTTGTGCGGATACAGACAATAAACGCTTTCTCTCTTCAACGCATTCTCGAATAATAATCGTTCAAGGAAAGGATGATTAGTTGATTACAGATTGGAATGTCTCGTGTCCTCGTTGGGAAGGAGACACCTCGTTAGCAGTAATTTACGGAAAGGTCTAAAAATAGAGCTTTCGAGTTAAGAATTTCGTCATGTGACAATAGTCGCGACTTTCCAATTCGCCAGAGTTGAGTTAATCGATTCCTATTAAATTAAACTATTATTTTTTTTACTTTATGCATGTAAGTTATATACATTGTTATATTGTACTTCCTCAGAAAAGAAAATTTCGTACATCACGCACAACACAGAGTTTGTATACATACATATATGTATAATCGATACGCGTCGCGATGCCGCGCTGCGTTCCTCTCGAAAAGCTAATTTGATTAGCTAATTTCGATAGTACGCTAATATATGACAATTGAACTGCCAAAATGGCAAAAGAGAACGATTAAAACTCTCGAGGCACGACGGCTATAACTGCGATTGCAACGGTCCTGTCTTCGATCCATGATAAGACTTGCAACCAATGTGCACGTACAATGTTCAATGAATACTTGTTAAACGTTTTTTTTTCCTAAAATAAAAAAACACGATCGATTACTTTTACGACGTACTTTTAGATACCTCTCAAATTGTTAATTACAGATGTACACATAAGTAATAATCTGTATATTCTTAGTGATATTTAATAGAATATGTATGTTATCGCTAATAAAAAAAAATAGCGCGAGTATATTTCTCCGAAGCTGTGCTTCTCGGAAATAATTTGCTCGAATTGTTGAAACTTGTTCTCTCCCTCGAGCTCGACGTTACAAATACAAGATCTTGGAATAGATGGAGCGATAGAAGGAAAAAAAAAGGAAAAGAAAATAATCGAGCGCGTCTCGAACATCGATTCTCGCTACATCTTGGGAGTGACGAGGTGACGAGTGTGACGAGATCTTGAGGCGAGGACGCAAGGAAATTGAAGGAAACTCATTGTCAACGTCCTTCCGTTTTGTTTACTATGCGTGACTATGCGTATATGTATATTCGGTGTATATATATATATATGTGTGTGTGTGTGTGTGTGTGTGTGTGTGTGTGTGTGTGTGTGTGTGTGTGTGTGTGTGTGGTGTGTGTGTGTGTGTGTGTGTGCGTGTGTGTATAGATACACGATGGAGAAGGAGAGCGTGAGCGCGTGCGCTCCTATCATGGAGAAAGACTCGATACATGTT